GATTGTGAATTGCTCTTGCCAGGGAAAAGCCTCTGTTTCTTCTCCCTGTGTCTTCCTTTGGAATCAAATCCATTGAAAAACACAGCACTGGCGCAGAATCTTGTGAGGCCACGCTGCCTTTTGAAGTCTGGTCACAAGGTATCCAGACCTGATTTTCCTTTTGGAGAGACCTGCTTCTGCTTGGTGAGGCCTTTAAACTTTGGCAATGGCAGCTCTGTCCCAGATCCTCAGGTCCGTGGAGAGTGCAGAGTAATAAATCAAGCAGAAGTCCTCTCACCTTTCACCTGGGATGTTTTGTCTCACCTTTGGTTGAGACAAAAACGTTTGGTCTAGTGACTTCCAGTTGAAGTAACAGCTGAAAACACACCACTCCACGGGGGTGAATCAAGGGAGAAGGGGATGGAAGGAAAGCACCCCAGGCACTGGGATGCCTTTGGCATTGGGGTTAATTGTTTGGCTTTGGCAGGAGAGAGACTGGATTTCCCTGCAGCTATAACTCCATTACCTCGGGCCTGTTACTAAACCTCTTTGTGACTCAGTGTCCTCATCTGTACCCCATGTGGTCAATGCTTGTTAGTATGTGGTCCAAATTAAGAACTTTGTAGAGGTTAGTTGTCATCCTTAATGACAACAATAAATTTTGGTGTGGCCCCAAACACTTTGAGTCAGTACAAGTGACCTAGGCTTTGCAAAATTCAAATTCTGGCTTATACTTGAGCTCTCACTGACACAATGTCAGGGAAGTTTCCACTGGAGACATAATAGCTGGCATTTATTGAGGGCTGTACATGGCTAGGAACGGCAAAGAGCAGGCATGAAGCTGAGAGATCTCAGCACATTATTTAACCACTCTGACCCTGTCTTGGGGTCCCCATCTCAGACTTTTGTGAGAAATGAGTGAGCCTGTGTGTGTAAAGTGCTTAGGGCCCAGTGCCTGGGCCTCCATGATCATGTAAGACGATGCATTTGCAGCAGAGTGTGAGCAGCCCAGGAATGTGGGTGGGAGACAGTTTCCCTGAATGCCGTGGAGGCAGTGGGTTAAGGAAAGGCTTTATAGTTGGACATACATTGCAATCTTGGAGGGATGTGCTCAGGGTTCTGGGGGATGTAGGTGAGTCTAGGGAGCCATTGATTCTTTCTGTTTGGGGTGTGCTGTGTTGAGAAGTATGAAGAACGGTTAAACTTTTGCCCTGTGGCTCACAACAGCCCCGTGAGATGCATCCTCATTTTATGGTTGGGGATACTGAGGTTCAGCACAGTTAAGTGACCTTCTCCTGCCCAGAAGCTGAGCTGGGATGGGTTTCTTGACCTGCCTGCCTTGCCCATCCCCCTCCCTGGTTCCTGGTTCCTGGTTCCTGGTCCCTGATCCCGGGTTTCTGGTTCCTTTTCCAGGTGCTAGGGGAGGTAGGGATGGTGTCAGGCCTAGCTCAGCTTGGTTACCCAGCTGGGCATGATTGGGTTAATCATTTTGGAAGTCAAAGGTGACTCTTGGGCCACTGGAGTTTGCAGGCCTTTGTCCCATCTTCTCCCACTCCTGCCCCCATCTTGAGTAAGCCTCGCTGCCTTAGTTGCCGAGGGGAACAGTGGCCCCTTGTTTTCTCTGAATTCTGAGCTCTGAGCACCGCACAGAATGGTACCCAGCGCTGGCCTCACAGGGTGGCGTGACTTGGAAGCGGAGCCCACAGACCTCCTCTAGCCACAGCAGGCAGCCCTTTCATGGAGGCACCCTTGCTTCTTGCTGAGAGGGACAAATCAGATCCTTCCACGGGAGAAGACAGGAAGTCCCTGGGAATGTTCTCTTCTGGGGGCAGACTGTGGTGAGAAAAACAGAATGAAAGACTTGAAATGAGTTTGCTTAGGCCTGACCCCCCCATCCCCACCCCATCTGGGAGACTATGCCCTGTGGTATCCCCTCCTTTAAGGGTCCTCTTCTGAGGCGTCCTCTCAGGTGTCTCCTCCTCTGAAGGTCCCCTCCTCTCAGGTGTCTTCTCCTCTGAGGGCCCTCTCCTCTGCAGTGTCCCCTCCTCTGTGGTGTCCCTGGTCTCAGGAGCTGTCCCTCCTCCCGTGTACCTGGAGCTCCTGTGGGGGTTGCGCCTGAGAGCCCATCTCCTAATAGGGAGAGACTAAAGCTCCCTTGAGGCTTTTTTAAGGGGATAGGCCCTCTAAAAGTGGTCTGTCCCCTAAAGTAGTTAATCGTGGCATACGTGACCACTTGAGGAAAAGAGCTGGGAGAGTCTTTAGAACCACCAGCAGCCCTACTAATGCCCCCAGAGATGCTGCGGGGAAAGGTGGCCGTGCGGGAGACCCGGCTAGGCCTGACGTCTGTCCCAAGCTGCTGTTCTCGTGAAAGGGTTTTACTGGCATAAAAATGCTTGGAAAATACACAAAGGGATGTGGCTGACTTCCAGAACTCAACTGTTTACCTTCAGCACAGCGGCTGGGAACGCGGAGAGCTTATTTTCCAAACAGCCCGTGGTTGTCAGGTCTACAGGCGCGAGGCCGGTGCCAGCATGGACGCCAGGGCATCCCCTCTGCCCACCTCCTCCCCCGATCCTATAGGACCCTGCAGCTCCTCTTGGATTGACCTCTGTCCTGGGTGCCGCAGACCTGGAGGATTCTCTTTGGAGATGTGGCTGATGGTGGGTGTGGCATTTCTGACAGCCCCCAAGTGCATGGCCTGGAATGGCTCATGTCACCCTGTTCTCTCCGTTTATAGCTGTCTTGGTTTGTGGTGCTTATCACAGCAGAGCCATGGTCACAGCAGAAATGGGTTGCTATGCATGGTACTGTTTGAGAGCCGACTGCTCTCTGCCTGTGTTACCACTGCCCACTGGCTTCTCTGCCTTCCTTCAAAGTCTGCTTTTTCTGGGAAGAGGGTTTAGGTGGAAATGTAACACGGAATGTGCGAGTAGAGCCAGAAAAGCCCTACGGTTCCCTCTTTTTATCACAGGGGAACTGAGGCCCAGGGGGATGAGGAGCCCAGGTCAGCTGGCAGCTCAGCAGGGGACTGGCAGTGGGTGTTGCTGTGCAGCCCCCTTCTGGGCTCGCTGGGGCACTTCCCTCTATGTGTCCTGGTCATTTTTCCCTCCTGGGCTCTTGGTGTCCTGGCATGTGACGGTGTGAGCGTCATCTGCAGCGCCTGGACTTTCTGGGTGGATGAACGGCATCTCCTGATCATCCAGCAGCCCCAGAAGAGACGGTCCACTTCTTCGCTGGTCTGGTTCTCGTTTTGTTTTGTTTTGTGCACAAGCTAGTCACCATGGGAAAGGAAGAGTATTCTTTAGAATTTTCTTATTGTGAGGTCAATGGTTATTTATTTATTTTTTCTCTTTCTAAATAGGAGAAATCCCTTAACATCTTTCCTGGCAGACAGTAAAAAAGAGGAGTTAAGGACATCAGCAGGAAGGAGCTGGCACATTCCAAAGGTTTAACCAAGAAGGAGTTTAAATAAAGGACTGTTACAGGGTGTGGGCAGGGTCTACAGAACCAACAAGAGACAAAGTACCCCACTACTCAGGAGTGTGGTGATCTGTCACCACTCTTAGGCCCTGGGAGGACAAGGAGACCAAAAATATAACTGGTGTCATAGAGACTGGGTAGTCCTGAGAAAAGGGGCTGCCATACTCAACAGGGGCTGTGACTGCTGCCAGAAAGATGGTCAGGGGGGTGGGGACTGTGGGAATAAATACCTTGACTTCTGTCCTTCTCTCTCCCATCTTCTGCTGGTTCCTCCACTTGGCTTGACTTGGCCAGAGGACAGGCAGCCAGGTGTCTGTGGCGCTAGAGGACAGCCTCCCAGGGCCCAGGGTGGGTGCTGGGGCAGAGTGGATGGTGAGGTGGGGAGGGGGACTGAATGACAGGTGCAGCTTCAATCTGGGTTTGATTCCTAGCTCCACCTCTTTCCCGCCTTTCTCGTTTGTAAAATTCTCATAGTGGTTGGAAAATAAAATGAAACAAAAGCATGTAAGCTTTGAGCATAGTCCCCACTTTGAGTGATTGTTTATAGCTGTCATTGTGATGTCTTTACTAAGGACTTAGCAACAGTCAGCCTTGAATCCTGGAGGGAGCCCATGTGGGGGAAGAGATGAGGGCAGGGGCGGGGCTCATAGCCTTCTCTGGCCTCTGCTGAGGCCATGTGGGGGGTCAGCCAGGTGCCAAGCTGGCGCCGCTGGCTCCAAGGGACTGGCCCTGCAGGTGGTGGCGGCCATGTGCCGGGCGGTAGGCAGCTGGTGGGTCAGGAAGCGTGGTGTCGGGCTGCCCTGGCTGTTGGCAGATGCTCCTGTCTCGGGGTCAGGTGATGCTTACTGTCTGTCAGCCAATGGCTCTGGCTCCCTTGGGGTCTGATCTTCCCAACCCTTTGCTTTTGAAAAAATAAACACATTCCCCATCGGAGAAGGGTGAGCAGTGCTTACCAGATTACAGGTAGCCGTGTACTCCTTCACTTTTTGTGACAAGCGTAGATTTCATGTGAAGTGCAAGCGGCTGGTCTCTCAAAGCAGATTTGCCAAGGCCACAGCTTTGCCAAGACTGTAGTTTAATAGAAAGTGTATCCGCTTAGATCTAAGTTATGATCTGGCTGTGTGACTTTAGTCATTTTACTTAACCCCTCTGAGGCCTAGTTTCCAGGTTGTTGGGCAGATGGAACGTGTTTAATAAATCCTTTCTCTCTAAAGCCATTTCACAGCATAACCTGATTGACTTATAGATGCTTTGTCGCCTTGAGTCTGTTTGTGTGTCTTCTGTGTCCTGGGTGGCCTGGGGCTTTGAGGAGAGAGGTACAAATGTGGGGCCTGCCTTGGAGGAGTTAGTAGGAGAGAAGAGTGGTCTTAGTGGGTTCATCCTGTTTGTCCTGTCTGTATTTCCCGCGCGTGTCAGCCCTCTCCTGTCCCACCTCTGGAGTGCTGCAGGAGGCTTGAGGGTCCTTTGGCAATATGCCCAGGAGTAGGGACAGTGGACTCGGAGCTAAACTGTTGCTTTTTTCTGTGTTCCCCTCCTCACAGCTGAACCTGAGCCGGCCGATTGAGGAGCAGGGCCCCCTGGATGTCATCATCCACAAGCTGACCGATGTCATTCTCGAAGCTGACCAGAACGACAGCCAGTCCCTGGAGCTGGTGCACAGGTTCCAGGTGAGTAAGGACAGGCACCCTCAGCTGTGGGACCTGCGATAGGCGGAAGGAAGGCCTGGGAGTGGCTGTGTGCTATAGCAGCTGTCTTGACATGTGGCTCATAGAGGCGGCTCTGCCACTGGCAAGACATGGGCTCATGGGCAGGTTTTCTTGGGTGTAACACCTTGAGAGGCTCAGAGCATGGTTGGCACCCGCCCCCGACCCCTGCCTGGGTAGACATGGTTTATTGATTGGAGCACCATTGGGTCCAGACATGGCCTCCATATCCCCAGCACAGGTACACAGCCCTGACCACGGCTCTCAGTTGGCATGAGGGAGGGAACCCTCTTGGAGAGAGGACCTCTGAGGGCCTTTGAACTGAGTCCTGGCTTGGTGGAGAACCCCTCTCTGCTCATCACCCTGAAACCCATGTGCTTGTCTTGGAGCACAGCTCGAGATGTCATATTGAGTCCCCTGGGCTGTTCCCCTTTCCACCCCGTTCCCCCAGCAGCCTCCTGAGTCCTGACCCCATGGTGACCCGCCTGCTGCCTTCACTGCTACTGACTTACCCTGTGTTTCCTCTATTGTGGACAAGAACATGATTCTTTCCTCTGGAAAGCATCTCAGGGGTCTTGAAAAACAAAGTCACATTATCAGTCAGAATGCAGCCAAAATAATGGATGTCCTCAGGCCTCTGGGTGGGGTAGGGGATGCTTGAGCCAGCACTTTCCAGTGAGTGGTAGTTTAGCTGTGACGTCCTGTTTTCCTTTATCAGGACAAGGGGGCCCTGGTCTGCCTCCCTGTCACACAGTAGCCGTCTGCTGACAGCATTCTTCTTTCCCACGCATGTTCAGGGGTAGCCACCACAGCCTCCCTTGCTCTCCCCAGCCCTTTGGCCAACTCCTTGCTGCATATTCCACGTCCCATCTGGAAGTGGCCCTGAAGCAGTTGCAGCCCATTTCTAGTCTCCCCTGTCCTGGGGCAGAGAGGTCCCCGTGTTGTGCCCTCCAGGGCCTGGAGTTCCTTCTACTTACTAGACAGTGCCTGCTTTTGTAGGGCTGGAGGCTGTGGGAAAGGTGTGTTCAGGCTCCTTGTGACTGCATGGAGCCTCAGTTTTCTTATGTGTTAAATGGGTGCTAGCAATAGGAAAGCCTCACAGCATGCTCAGAGGAGTAGATGGCATGATGCGATATGTGTGTAGCGCTTCCATGGTGCTCAGCCCCCAGCCTGTGCTTGCTGAGTGGTCGACATCATCCTTCTCAGGTTCCTGCCAGGAGCTCTTCCAGGCACTGGAGTTTGAGCAGCAAACAAGACAGAGGAAGCGTTCGCCCTGTTGATTGGCTGCTTGCTGAGCCCTGCCTGTGCCAGGGCTGGGCTGAGAAGCCCTTACCCCTGTGCTGTATTTAATCCCTATGACACTTTGGGGCAGGACTCACCAGCCTTGTTTTATAACTGGGAAACTGAGGCTTAGAAGCATGTGCAGCTCGTCCACAGGAACCTGGCAGAACCAGGGATCAGTCCTGACTTTCCCAAGTGACCCCGGGCTCAGTCCCACAGGGGCTGGCTCTTCCACCTCCTCTTTTGCTCCTGCCCATGCCACTGTCCTTGGGTGCAGCCCCAGCTGATTACAAGTGAAGCAGCGACCTTCCTCACTACTGAGCCGTCCACTCCTACCACCCCCAATTCCTTGTCTCCTCTGGTAGGCACAGTTCACGTGCCTGCCATGCCTTCAGGTGACATTCTCTGGGGTAGCATAGCTAAGCATGGGCTGCCACACAGATCTTTGGGGGCAGGGACGATGCGTCTTCTGCTGAATCCAGCCAAGGGATGGGTGGCCTTGCAGGGGCTCTGTAAGACTCTGGGAAGGCTGGGTAATGTGTAATGATAGGAACAATTATTATTACAGCACAAAACACTGACCAAGCAGATACCATGTGCCAGACCCTGCTCTAACTCATTTGCTCCTATGAACAAATTAATCATTGCTGTTGTATAGATGAGGAGACAGGTGCGTAAAGGCTGGGGAGGCTTGCTTTGAGTCTCCACAGCCAGAAAGTGGTCAAGGTGGGATTTGAACCTGCATGGGCTTGCTCTCCCTGCCTGCTGTGCTGCCTCTCCAGAGGTGGATGAGACAGGAGACGAGAGTCCAACCATGTGGGAGGGGCATCCCAGCTCCAAAACGTACAAGCCAGGGGACTCCCCTCAGCCTCAGTGTCGTCTTCGTTAAAATGAGGGTGCTGGTAGGGTGGGCAGGTTGCTGCGAAACCAAAGTGCCTGTTGTTTGCTGAGCGCTGGCAGCTGCTCCTGCTGTGACTTCCATTACAGCCACACTGCTCCTTCCATTACTGCCATCTTCCTGGATGAAGGACCACAGACCCCAGCTAGCCCCAGTGCCAAGAGTTATGGGACAACTGACAACTATCCCCAAGGGGAGTGACTCCCAGCCCCGCCCCCCCAATCTCAGGTACACACAAAGCCCACAGCCCAGGGCAGGTGATGGCTGAACAGTGACTGAGGGCTGTGCCCTGTGTTCCTGCTCTGGGCAGAAAGGAGCGTTACAGAGAGAGAATGAGTGAGTGAGCGTGTCAGGGGGACATGGGGACATGCAGCTTACAGCTGCCTGCCACCAGGTGCATTTCCCCGGGATGGTCTTAGCTGGGTCCCTGAGTTAGTCCCATCCAGGACACATAGCCAGCCGGCCCTCAGCCAGGGGCAGGCAGGGGGACGGCTGCGGCGACCTCACGGGAACATTCCAGCCTGGTATTTCTGAGATAACTTTTATTGCCGTCTGTGCTTCAGCGAGAAGCCAGATATCTGATAAGGCCAGGTTTCCTCCTTTGTGGAGAGAACAGTCCTTTGGGGAAAAGGGTGCCAGGCTGTGCTTTCCAGAGGCCCCAGGAAGAGGAGACAGGCGGGCCTGCATGGAGGAGGACCCTGGGGTGAGGGCGGGGAAGTGGCTTCCTCCTGCCCCTGAGCACAGTGCGTTGGTCATTGACCCAGTCATCTCTCTCTGCCACGAGATTGGAGAGATGCGAGATCAGAGCCAGACACACAGGCTCAGCAGGGCTGGCACCCTTGATTGTGCCCTTTGTTTTCAGACTTGTTTAAATTTATATTCTCCAGACATGAACAAGGAAGCATTGGTGTGATTTGGGGACTAGGAGGGACAGGGATGCTACGTCAGAGGCAGGCTGATTTCAGAGGCAGGGGGAGCAGAGCCCAGGGCTTGAGTTTGCAGAGGGGCCTTTCCTGCATTTCATTGTGAGCACCAGAAGAGTGGAGATGGTTTGCCCCATCAGCTTGAAGGGCTGAAGGCAGCGTTCAGGTCTCTGGAGGAAGTGTGCTGGGGTTGTGTGGGCTGAGAAAGATGAGTTTCTGAGATGTTCCTGACAGCCCTACAGCACTGGTCGTGGGATGCTTGCATTAAACCTCTGCTCCCCAGAGACAGAAGGGAATTCTCAGAGCTGAAAGGCTGTGCTTTTTTGCCCCGGTGGCCAGTTTGGGGGGTGTGGGCGTGGGGATTATTGCAGACCATTAAAGCTGGTTGTCATAGAAACCTCCACAGTTACCCCCAAGCTTTTTTTTTGGATTGATCTCAAAATGGCTTAGCTTGGGAATCATTGGGATAATTCAGTTGTTTTTCTGCTTCAAGGTTCCTGTGGAGCCAACAGCCTGGTGGCACCGTGGCTCTGCTGGAGATTTCATTATCAGTGTACAGACCCGGGCAAAGGTCCCTCGAGGGCCCTGCCCATGTGGTGAGTGGGCTGGCACAGTGGGAGGGGCCTTGCCTCAGTGCTCAAGGACCCCACGGGCCTCCTGACCTCTCGAGCAGCTCCCTCAGGGGAGCAGTGGGAACTCTGTCCTCTCAGGGGCACCCAGAATCACCTGTCAGGTGTGGCCGCTGGGGTGGGAGGAGCCAGCCCTCCTCTTCTGCTGCCTCTTCCGGCTCCAGAAGGTTACAGTGATCGCGATCCTCATGGATCTTCCTGGGACTTTCCCTGAATGAGGGTAGAAGGAGTTCTGAGTCTGAACCGGTGCCTCTTCTTCATCTTGATTAGCTGCAAGGATGTTAATTGTTTCCCAGATGTTTCCTGGGCCCCCAGTCTGAACAAATTCTGCAGGACACCCTCCTGTGCAGTTAGCGCTGTTTGCTAAGTGTCCGGCGGTGGGTGTGGGGGGTACATGGCTCTGGTGGGCAGACAAGAGCAGGGAGAGAGGAGGCGGGGAGGGCAGATGGTGCTCTCTGGTGGATGGTGAGTGACACTCTCCAGGTGGCAGCAAAGTGGGAGAGAGGAGGCGACAGGCCAGAGCTCCAGCACTCCAGGGCTTTTTCATGCCCACTGTAGAGCTTGGACTTTATCCTGCAGGGAGGATGGGCGGGGAGGGGTGGACAGAACAGCGGTGATAAGATCAGATGCGATTGGAATGAGAGAGTCCCTGCTTAAGAGGGGGAAATTGCCAATGCAAGATGAACTCTGAGCAGGTGAGGGCACCATTTAGTCACTGGTGCCTGGGCATTTCCAAGAAGAAGAGGTTGCTCCTGGCTTGGAGGCTCGGTGATAGTCCCAGTCCCAAGTGACCCCGTGGTCCTGAGCGTCCCCTCCCTGAGCTGCTGTGACAGGCTGGCCTCTGAGCAGCTTGAGCCTTGCCCTGCCCACACAGGACAAGGTTCCACTCACTGCTTGGGTCCTTCTCGGTGTTTAATTGTATAAAATGAATCTGGGAAAGGAGGTCTTGACTCGCCCTCAAGGATGCAGGAAGAGAACACACACTGGTCATGCTGGTTCTTTACCCAAGTTTTACTGAAGGGAAACAGCGTTTGGTGGACTTTCAGTAACAACCGACGCCCCCCACCCCCACCCATGCCCTGCTGGCAGGGAGGGTGTAGCCTCCCTCTCCAGTTCCCTGCGGAGGACAGTGGAGGGGTGCAGTTCAAGGCTGCTCTGCTAGTTTGTCGGGCTGGGCTAGGCTTTGCTGCAGTGACAAACAGCTCTGCCCCCTGGCACTGCTTTGTTTCTAGC